TCAAACGGAACCGATTAGCTGCGTACGGTGCACGAAACAACCGTAAATAGTATCCGAGGCATCGGTTGCGCCTCAAATACCAATCGACTCTCTTACACGAGTGTGTCTTTCATGGTTTGTACGACCAGGGATTAACATTACGGTCCAATTCTTTTCTAATTTCGCCGACGCGAGCTCGAGACCTCCCGGCTTGCTATATGCGTCGAGCAATTTTAAATACCTCGGTTCGACGTGCATGCTCAAAGACGCGTATCCGAGCGTTTGAATACATCCGTTAGCCACTGTACGTTGATTCAGCGCGCAAAGGATCGTGTAAGTTTACCTCTCCTCGGAGGATTTAATTGCAAAACGTGCTCGCGACTCGTCGCCAGGAAAACGGTGGAACGAAACGCAAAGGACTCGCAATCGGATTTAAGAGCAGAAAAGGAGAACGTTGAAGAATATCAGGCTGTCACGATATGCCACCGGCGCATGGGAAGCGGAGAAGTATTACGCGCGGTATGAATCGGTGCTACGGTACGCGGGAACGAACCGTGCGATTGTCTTCCCAAGTTCTTGCTGCTTTATTCCGCGTATGACGGAGTCTGGGCGGTGGAAAAAGAAAAAAGGGACACCGAGGACCTTTAGCGGGATCAAAGGATCTCGCGTATTGCTCGCGTGCGCGTTTCAGAATAATTTCACGATTCTTCAACGGCTATTTTCGCGCCGCGCGTATCTCCAACGGACAAATGGGACTCGAGAATTCAATGGGAAAGTGCACGGACGAGCGCTGATTCGCTTAACATTGCTTTTAACGCGCAACAGCTTTTAAACGTTTCGTGCCAAGAAACTCTATCAAACTGCATACTATATAGCCCGATTCTAGTATCGGTTTGGTAAATTGAATAAGTAATGGGGAATTAGCCTGGCCCGTGGAGTTTGGACTGGCAGGCATCGGTTATTGCGATAGGGAAACCGGCCCCCGGACGGCAGTCCCCGAACAGCAGACTGGCAGGAAATCCGGGCTATCGACGAAAGAGAAGAGACACAATCGGTTCGAGATAATCCGGACGAGGGTCCTCTGTCGATATCCAGGAGGAGGACGTCGACGTCTGGCATCGATTTGCTATCTGGCCGCTCGAAATGACGATACGTTCCATCGAGCCGCGCCGATAAACGAAACCAATTCCACTCGTGTTGTAATTAACCGTAGCTGCAGCGATACAACCCCTCGCCGGCCCTCTCGCGATCGCTGCGAGAGACCGGGAATAACTACCCCTTTTTCTTCCCATTTTCCAGCCCGGTTCACTTTTTAGTCCGGCTCCCGACGTGCTGCGAACCGCGCAAACTTCTGCCTAGGGGAACGGCATTCTTTTCCCTCCGCTCATCTTTCTTCGCGGCCTTTTTCTCGCTTATCCAGCGCTCCCAGCGCGATTTTCCCTCTCCGTCGGTACCCCGGTCTCCGGCCGACAGAAACAAAGCGGATTCCCAGGCGTAATAAAGAGACTCGACCGACGCAAAAACGCTATCACCGAGGACTTCTCCCCGTTCTCGGGCTACGCGTCTCCATCTTTTCCCACCCCTCGGGCCCGGCGTTTTTCGATCGAACGTTACCGAAAGGAACGAGAGAGAACTCGTCGGAATTCGATTTCGCCACCATCCCCCCCGCCTCCCACATTTTCTTCCAGTTTTCTTCTCGCAGCCTCGAATCGCCCCGTCTCCGTCCTTGTTACCTTAAACGTCTCCGTCCCTCCGCGACCATACGCCGGCTGCAATCTCGCGCGACTCATAATTCACGGCCGAACTCGTCCAATTGGCCGCGCTCGTCGCATTATACCCGCAGACTTAATCTAAACTTTCGCAGCGGCGCTGGTACGGTCGGTCGTAATCACGCGCGCACAACTCCACCCCCTGGCGACGCGACGGGATTTCTGGCGATAAATATCTACCCGAAGAAATTAACCCCGGAGAGACGTACGATGAAAATGATCGCGACGACCGGTCCGAGGAATCGGGGCTCGCGGACAACAGACATCCGGGACAACCGACGGGCAGCACGGGTTTAATAAATACTTGGCAACCGTATCGTCCTCTAATAAACTCGAGACAACTTACGCGAACCGTATTCTGCTGCTGCTTTTTAATTACTATCATCCGGCTCGGTCTCCGTTCCGTCCCACCTACCCTCTTTATAATTTTCCCGCTCCCGCTGCCTCTTCTGCCCGGTGCTTTTTCCACGCCGGAGACGGAACGATTCTTTGCTCAGCGACTTCCACCCCCTCCCACCCCCTCGCCCAGTGCTGCTTGGAAGGTTTTGCGAAGACTCTGGTGTCGCGCAATGCAACGTACCTCGAGTGATCGAGCGAACGCCTGGGTATCCTAATCTCTTCGCCGAGGCCGGCTCGGACAACGAACACCGGAACGGACAAAATGTTTACTGCAATTTCGGTAGTTACTGGTACGGCCCGCCCCCGTCGACGCGGCGCGGCCAGCCAGGGCCAGAGAGACGGAGAGAGAGAATTCAATTAAGGACGCCCGATGCGTTTAACGCCCCGTAAAGCCAGACGAGAGGGCGCAAAAACCAGCGGGGCTTTCCTTCGAAACTCGCGGGATTTGCATGTGCACGGCGGAATGTTCGCGCCGCAAACGCTCGTCCGTGTGCCCAACGACCGGGGGCTGTGTGGGTGTCTCTTTCGGTGCAACCAGCTAGCTGACTCGCACGGAGAGCGTCTCGCGCGCTAAATTATTATTTTAGATTAAACTCTCGCTCGCTACAAGACACTGCTCGATATTAAACTGATTTAATATAACGCGCACCGGGACGAAATTAGAAATTATAAACGGCCAGCCGCTGTAAGTAACGCGGGGATTTTACCGAGGAACACTGCGCACGATTAAAGCGATCGCCTCTCGAACCTTCTCTCCAACAGCTTTGTGGAAAATTTCACATTCGACGTAGGAGAGATAATTGGTATCAGGAGTTCGTGGGGATGGATCGCGGTCGAATATTCGGACAAATTCGTTGCCACGTATCCGGACAGCGACAGAGATATCCGTGGAATGGCCGAGCGTTTAATCGTAAACGAAACGGAAGATAAATTTCGAGTCACGGATCGCAACCGAGCAGATTCTCCAATTACGCGTAATGATGTAAAATCGTCGGGCGATAATGGGTCCCCGGGTTCGGAGGACGGAGGCGGCGTGACACGTGTTCTCTATTAATAGGCCCGTGCCGTTTTTACCCGGGCCGGGCACGTCGGAAGAAGAAAAACCGAGAGGACCGGAGGACGATGAAAAAGGGGAGGCGTCGGCAGACCGATGGCGCCTGTCAGGGGTAAATACGGTTTTTTAACTGGTAGCCTAAAGACAATAACAGGAACAGAGCTGTTACGTGTCCCTCGTACAAGCGATGGCCTCTCTCGATTTACCTCGGCCAGGCAAGCGCCGCGAGCCGAACCGATTACTCTTCGCGACCGGTCTCACTTTTAACGTCGCTCCCGATGATCCCTCTCTTCTTCTCGGTGCTCGCTTTCCCCGCTGTTCCGTCGATTTGCTCGACGATCGAGCCCAACCGGCCCGAGCACCGCGCGCAATTATCCCCGACGGGAGAGATCCTTCGCCTAAACGGGAATTTTCAAGCGGAGAGAGGACGACGCGTGGATTACGCTCGATCGTAAAAGTCTAGGATGTTTTAACGACGAATTACCCCGACCAAACCTCTCCGTGCACACACGCCGAGAGATCCGTTTAATTCGCACGGATCTCGATCGAAACGCGTCGTGTAACGTAAATTGCTAACAAATAACGTTTACGAGTTCTGTAGCTGCTAGTACGGATTCCGAAACCCGTCAAGAAAGACTTTCAAACTCTTAATTGCTCGACGACAATTCCAAAGCGCAACTTTTTATTTCGCGAGAAGAATTTCCGGTCCCGACCAGCAATAACGAGAGACGACGAGGGGGCTTTTAATCGTTGGACCGAGATTTATCGGAGCGTAGCGAAACACGCTAGGTGGAAAAATGAAGCCCTTCGGCGTCACGGAATCCGTGGAGAATTTCAAAGGTTTGCGGTCGCGGTTCAAACTTGTACGAAAATTTGATCGCACGGCTTTAATTGGAATTCTTTCCGGCGTCTTTCCCCTATATCTCGCGCGGTTGTAGATCTTCCCGAACGGTGGGGGTAGCAAGTTACAGAATTCGCGTATGTGGCCACAGATTGCGGCTAATAGTGCTCTTGGGGGCCGATTCTACGCTCCCGAAGATTTCAAAGATCGAGCCAAGATCTCGTGGAACGCTTTGTCGAGCAACCGTTTCTGGCGAGGAACAAGCAACGCCAAGATTAACGGAAACGCGCGAGAACGTTTTTGTCCGTCGAGCTCACGATTCAATTCGCCGGCGCCGGATAAGGAGCTGGCTGGAATTTATCCCGCACTAAAATCCCGTTCTTCCGATATGAATCGAGCGGCCTTAGAATCGCGCGCGACGTTCTTTCTTCGAGTCGTTCTTTTCTGCCACCTGTTCCGCCATTACCCACCTCCTAACCGAGGGATTCCTGTTCCGCCGAGTCAACTTTCAACCGCGGATCGATTCTACTTCGTCCGCGATTCAGACCTAGCCCAACGAGGGCGTTTAACCTCGTCGGAAGGTCTCGAGAACAGCCCGGCGTCGGGAGTGAAACGTGGCGATTCGGATCGGAGAATATTTTATAAGCGAGTTGCGAGTTTCCCAAAGATGGCCGGGGCGAACCAAGTACCGGGAAGTAGACGTAAGCCGTCGACGGAAGATCGAGTCGAAGATTACGAGTACGCGCTGGAAGTTGAATCAAGAATTAATGAACGCGCTCGCAGACCGGTCGAGCAAAGGCGATTTCGAGGGCTTAATTTCTCGGCGGAAGAAAAGTCTTTCAAACGGAGACAGCAAGTTTCCTGGGCGGGTGGTATCGGGGCGATATCGTCAGCCGCGAACCTCCGGTAGCAGGTTGACGCGCGACGGGCGAAAATTCAAGGAATGAATCGTACTCACCGGAATGGCGACGCAGTCTTCGATCTCGGTGAGCGGTTCCTCCGAGCAGAAGGTGCCGTCGGTGAGGAACGGAGGCCGAGGGGGTGGCGGCAACCGGAACTCAGGGGGTGGGCCGGGGCATTCGGGGCACTCCGTGCTCTCCAACGTCTCCAGCTCCTCCATCCTCCACCTCAGCGTGCTGAAAACCACACGGAAAATCAACGCTCGATTAATCTTATTGACAGAACTATTAATCGGCGCGCGGAAGAACCTTTATCTTCGGCCGGCCGTCGATTCGTAATTTATTCCTTCCCGTTTCCGCTCGCGCGCGAACCGACGTCGCCGTCGCCGCATTGATTCCTCTCTCCACGGACAGGCTGAAAATAATTCGCAAACAATTCCCCGGAAACGAAGGGTCTTTAAAACCGAATTACCCCTCGGACAAGACCGCTATCGGAACGCTAGAAAACCGCCTACGGAAAAATACGATCAAACGTCTGTTGAAATCTCGTTACCGCGATCGGACGGGGCGCGTCGACGACCACGGGTAAACCATGGGGAAAAAGAACAGCGTCGAAACGTAGCGAGCCGAAGGGACGACACAACGAGGGGTCGTCGGTCGGATAAACTAGTTAGCATCTGGGTATCGTCCAGGGAAAACGGCGAGCAGTCCGAGGAAACCAAACAGCGAAGGCGAAGGAAAGGTTGCAAAAAATGGCAGTTGACCGGGAAAGTTCGCGGCCTCCGGTTAAATTGATAACGGGGTCCGGGATTCCCGTGGCGGCCGTAGAGTGGATTTCGTCGACTAATTAAGAGATACGCGTCTGGTAGCCCGCCATTAGCTACGGAGTACGTCGCACCCTGACGCCGGTCCAACTCCCGCGAACGGGCTAAATGCGCGCTTTTTACACGCGCTAGGGTGTATCTGGCTGCCTCGTTAGCATAGGAAGCACTTTCGGGTCAAGTCGTTCCAGTCGGTGCCGACTGCCGGCCACGGCCTACCTAGTCGGTATGCTAATATCAGGGACTTAATTACATTCTCATAATGAATCAGTCACGCCACTGGTTCTCGTCTGCCTCCTATCCGGGGACCTCCTGCCCCGGCACACACGATTGTATTCCCTTGATTAATTGTTTCGGCCTCTCCGAGGATGCGCGAGCACATCCTCCGAACGGAACATCCGATACCCACGATCCCTGTATTTGTCATCTATAGAGAGATTTCGGTGATCGATTCTGTCTCTTCCTCCGTCCAGGCTTTCTTTGCAAACCGTTCATTGTCCGGGGTTGCCCGAGAGGTGATTACAGTAGCTCGGACAATGGATTCTGCGAGACGAACCAACCACCGTCGTCAAATTAACCCCGTTCCTTGGCTACGTAACAACGTGTCTTTTTGCAATCGTCCCTAAAAGCATATCAAGGGGTCAAATAAATCGGCCGTGGAACGCGAGCGTATAGTTTTCGCTCGAACGAACGACGAAAAGTCATCGACGAACTCCCATCGAACAAACGGCCCTCTCCTCCTCGGCATCCGCGTCGAAGGAAATTTTTTTAAAAGCAAAGTTCGAGACCGCGTTCGAACGTCGTTGACATTCGATTCCGTGGAAGTTCGGGACGAAAGATGCGGCAGGTTGGAGGGGAACGGAAGCGGATCCGCGTGCACGCGCGCGAAGAAAAGAAAACGGGCGGAAAGGAGAGCGGCGTCGGTGATGAAGAGGGTATCGAGCTACTATTTTACGCTAAGCGAGCGCACGGCCGTAGAGAGGGCAGAGACGGAAAGGGGAATCGGAAAAAGGGAAGAAGAGCAAGCGCCACGTAGGTGGATGAAGTCGAGGAAGGAGAGGAGGAACACGTCCGCGCTCAGTTTAATAAATGCAGCCTTCCTTCCGTTCCGTTTCTTGGCTCGGCCGATGTTCTACCTCGACGCCCGGCGACGCTGGAACCCCGCGGAGCTACTCCGTTTCTTTTCCGCCCCCTTCGCCGCCCTTCCTTCGCGCTCCTCTCATTCACATGCAGAGCAGAATGCGGACGAGCAGCCAACCGAGCTCCCCGAACCCGCTCATCTCGTTTCTGGCTCGGCTCCGCGCGGACCAAATCTTCAGTTCGCGTGATTTTTATTTAATTCTCCCCGATACACACACTCCATCGTCCCTTATCCGCCTCGCCGTCGTTATCCGCTTTCTTCCGCACGCCAACCTTTCCGTGCCTTTTTGCCGCGACGGGAACTCTCCCGTATTCCATTACCGTTTCCCCCCAACGACCAAATTCTCGGCAATTCCGCGAACGTCGCGTGGAAACCAACAGTCACGAAGACGACTTTTCGCTCGGCGAACAATTTCGAAACGAAATCTATCGAGAGATAGGGAACCGGAAATAAAAGGGATCCGCCGAAGATCGACGCAATGCCGTCGCACCCCCAGAGCCTATCGGTGCTTTACACTCGAACAGACATCGAGACTGCACGATGTATTTCCATTTCTAACGTTCGATGGTATTAGATTTCGGCACAAGTAGAAAAGCAGATGAGTGGTCAGACGCGTCAGCGGTCTTTAAGAAAGTCGAGTTACTCGGGGGATGGCCTGATACTTGGCGATTACGTACGACCCTAATAGATGCTAGAACACCTCCGATAGACTTCCGAGAAACCGTGTAGCCTGTCGACGCGATCGGCCATTGTTTTCTAGGCCACCAGGAAGCGGCCGCACTCGTAAAGCAGTCAGACTCGGTCGGGAATTAGCCCGAGAGTTAATTGGAACCGCGTCGTACGATTTCGCGCGATAAATCTCGCGGCGGCTGCGTCTGGGAGCGTCGACATGCTCTCGTTCCTCGAAATAGTCCGCGACAACGGATTCCGAGGACCAAACTAGAAACCGGCGCTGAAAATTCGGCCGGATCCGGAAATTAGAACTGATGCGTCGCGAACAATGATGGCGAAAATGTCGTCTCTAATAAAATTGTGCGCCCCGAAACGAGAATTCGCGAGAAAAAATCAGTGGCGCGCGGAGCAACATCCGCGAAATGCGGCAAAGCCGGGCGCGGCTGACTAGCCAGCGGACAATTTTCGGTTTAGTTTTGGCGTCTGTCGCGAAACCGAGGTTCGCCTAATCAGCTATTTTATGCCGCGAATCGCGTCGACGCCGGTGAATAATGGAAAACGCGTCGAGAAGAATCCACGTTGCAGAAAAATATAACCGCGCCCGTGGTAAACGCACCGCGTATTATGAGCCCGATATTAGTGCATTAATTAAGCGTCATTATAAACCACTGCATCGCGGCGATAAGAGAATTACCTCTTCCGGAAAAAATTTCAACCTCCGTACGAGTCGTTGAAAAACGGACGAATCGGAGAGTGGCGTTCATAAATTTCTAACTACGCAAAGACCTACGCGACGATGCAAATTCAACGTTCACGATCCATAGATCGAAAAAATTAACAAATTTCTAATCGTTCTAAAAAAATTAGTTTCGGTTGCGGGGGTCAATTACAATCATTTTTGGTGAATACACATACCCCCGAATTCCTACGCACTTTTGAGAAAAAAATTCTTTACTGCGAATATAATGTGTGGCTAGAGATCTATGATTATATTCCTCGTTTTTATCACCTTACTTATGACATATCGACAGCCTTACAGTTTTCTGAGCGAGACCTGTTTTCTACAGGCGGAGCTTTGAACGTTAATAACTTTTTAACGAAGCCCCAATCAACAAATTGGTATTCTTGATTCTCGTCTTACTTTGGCCTGTAGAGTTTCCCATTAAAATTTTTCCCAGAGGTGGCCGAACACCCTGCATAATATTACGTTCCATTAGCTACTCAAATAATGGGTTAATAAATTATACCACCCGCGTGCAGGATCCCGGTACATCAATTCTTCGATATCACGAAAGATAAGTGTTTGGGCGAAGGTAGGTGGGTGTTGATGGCGATGCACGCTGCGCGTAAAAGCGCGTGGGAGGTCGCCGCGGCGCGGAGCGGTGACTGCGTTCTCGCGCACGTGACATATCCGGTAATTTCATTATGAAAATCCGGGCGTGTGTACGTGTTGGTGAGCTGCACGCGCGCTAATATATACTCGTATTTCCAGAGCCCCGTTATATACGTATACACACAGGGGGGCTGGAAAAATAAGAGAACTGGATGGGACGGGGGTGAGTGGTTTTCGCGAACCGCGTTGCGCGAAATTTCATAACGTCGGTGTTCTCGTCGCCGTGGCGAAATTCACGACAGCCGTCGCGCGCTATATCTTTCGAAACGAACGTCGCCGTTGCCGGTATTTTATGACCAGCCGGATTCGTTCAACATATTCGCGAAACGCGTTCGTTTGCGGAATTGCTCACCGAACGATTAAACGTCGGGCGTCTTTCTTGGAATACCGGAGGGGCTCGGGCGTTATCGAAATCCAACGATGAAAGCCCAACCAGCGGGAGAATAGGCTGGGAAAGTGTGTCGTTGATCGACCGCGTCGACCAATGGCCGTGGCTATTCTAGTAACAATGAATTCTAAGATTAGTTGAGGAGAGGCTCGACGGAGAAAGCTGTCTCCCGTCCAAGGAGGCGTGTTTAGAGGCGCTCGGCTGAAAAATGTCCATCGACTGTGGATCTTCGCGCGACGACACCTCTCTCGAGAGGGAAAGTTTAAATTAACTCGTTTTAATCCCGCGGGAAACTCGGCCGTTCCGCGAATCGCTCTTGTCGAGATTTGACGTTAAGTAATCGGATTAGCGCGAAACCAGCCTCGAAACGTCGCGAAAATTGCGTTAATCCAATTTCGAGGCCGTCGACGGCCGAAACGTTTGGATAATCGTTTTAAAAAAGCAAATTTTCCCGACGTCCATCGGTCGTTCCGCTTCCGAAGGATCTCGGGAAAATTGTCGAGGGGGATGGGGCGTGGAGTAGATCCCACCGGGAGGAACCGTAAGTAGACGAGATTAATTTCGAACGTCACGAGATTCTGACGCGCGATTCAACGTCAGAAACTTCGAGCATTAATTATTATCATTAAGCTCGCCGCCGCGGCGATGGTATTTCGTTTCGTTAAGGCATCTATCATCGCCGAGGAGAAGTAAACTTTCGAGTCTTCGGCGAATAACCGCCGAATCAACTTTTTAAATCCTACCAGCAAGTTCGTACGGGTCCGCGAGGGCTTAATGAAAGAAATACACACCGTGAAACGACGTAGAATACGTCCTCGATGACG